ACTTTTATATATATATATATATATATATATATATATATATATATATATATATATATATAACTAGACTCGTTTCGAAAAAACCCTCGAATTTTGATTTGCTAATCAAATCAATCTCGAGGGAAAAAAAGTTTTAAAAAAAAGAAAGAGCTACAAACATGAACTTCTGCCGACAAAAAATCGCACAGATGCAGGTCTGAAGCCCAAAAAAAAACCCCGATACGAGTAACCAACTAACTAACAAAAGAGCTCAATACAACCGTAGAACAGACCTAGATACACCTAGTGAGCCAGACAAACCTACCTAGGTTTGTCTGGCTCACTAGGTATATATATATATATATATATATATATATATATATATATATATATAACGTATTTTCCGGCTTACAAGACACATTTTTTTCCTAAAAAATACCCTGAAATAATCTTGTGCGTCTTCCAAGAAAAGGAGACTGTCCAGGCTCAAATAAGCTTGGACGGTCACCTAAATGGCTTGACAGATAGGAACATGGATTTTTATATTGAGTCATTACATTATAATATTAGCTATCTATCAAATTCAGCCTTTCAAATGATGTAACCTCAGTACTTAGCTGTTACAAGTATCCCCAAGACTATAAACCTTCCAGGAGCCGAGCCACAAACTTAAACATGCTCTGTTTACTTTCAGCGAGAGGAGCCTTTCTGCTCTTGACTAGTATGTCATTGCCATACAAACAAAATCGGACGACTGAATAATACCAATACGTAGTGCCAGTATGCGAGGTACGCATTGGTGAATGTGTTGTTGTATGAGAATGACCTTTTTTTAATACATTTAATGCCAATATGCTCAAATTATAAATTGCTGGAAAACTAATGACATTTCTACTTCTGTTTGTACAAGGGTCATTCAAAAATTTCTAAGTCTCATCCAGGAGTTAGAGAAACAAAACAATGTTTCACTATTTTCAATAACGCCCCACTTCCCTTGACATGAATGCACTTGGTCCAACGATGCTTAAGTATTGAAATCGCATCACGGAAAAAGGTGTCTTCCTGATGCCCCCCACTCCGCCACTAAAAAACCTCTACACACTATATATGATCTCATCTTTGTTTCTAAAATAGAGATGGGATTTAAGTTAAAGAAACAGGAAGATATGTCAGATGGAGCAAAGTCTGGTGTGTAAGGGGGATGAGGTAGCAATTCAAAGCCACAATTGGCTTATTCAGCGGTGGAAATTCTCAGATTCAGTCTGGAAGCGGGTCAGAAGTATTTTGGAAAAGTCAACCCTTTTCATATTTTCAGCTCTGGTGTCAGCATTCTTGGGACCCATTTTGCAGACAACTTGCTCATCCACAAAATCTCAGTTATAACAATATGGAACGAACCATAACTAATGCCTATAGACTTAGCTATCTTCTAGACAGTAAGACGTCTGTCATTCAAAACCATATGATCAATGGCAACAACTTGTTCATCAGTGGTTGAGGTTTTGGGACGACCTGACCCAGGGTCATCTTTGCTGTCTCTGCCTCGCTTGTATTCCACATACATTTCTTTTGCAGATAATTTATGGCTGTTCGAACCATTTTTTTGTCCATTTTTAGATTTGTCGCACACCTCTCAACTTTGTGTGGGCCTCACCTGCGCAGAAATTAAAACGGAAAACTTAATTTCTAGTTTTATAAAAACTGATATTGTGCTGCCACCAAAAAACGTTCAACTATGGCTCTTCTTTCTGGGTGAGGCTTCGAACTTTTTGAACGACCCCTCGTATAATAATCATAGAAATGTATTTAACAGGTACAGGAATGACATAGCTCTGGTAAATACTTCTGTAAATGCATTATGGATTCACGGGTCTCTGTTTTGTCCATTTTTAGATTTCTTGTACACGTTTTACATTTGTATGGGCCTCGACTGCACATAAATTAAGATGGAAAACTTTATTTTTTTTTTAGTTTTATAAGTGAAAATTCTCAGGGTCAGCCTAGAAGCGAGTTAGATATGTCCTGGAAATTCTAACACTTTTTTGCTTCTGCTTTGATGTTAGCATTCTTTGGACCCATTTTGCAGACAGCGTGCTCATCCCCAAGATCTCAGTTAAAACAGTATGGATCGAACCAGAACTTATGGACTTAGCTATCCGTCATTCAAAACCATACACTGAATGACATCAACTTGTTCATCGGAGGTTGGGGTTTTTGGACGACCTGACCGGGGGTCGTCACGTGCTGTCCATACACCGCATACATTCTGCAGCCCACTTTTGCACAACTGCACAGGAAGGGAACTCCCCAGCAAGTGTCGGTATCATGTCCTTATGGGTTAGCTTGGGTGTCGTACCTTATTTTTACAGATACTGTTTTGTCCAATTTTAGATTTACTCACAAGACGGATTGAATGCAAGAGCGACAGATGCAAACAACGCATAATCAGTCATAATTCTTGTCATGAATACTTGACGAGCTTGGGAAAATGGATGGCGAAACAGGGTTTAGAAATAACGAAATGACAGAATTTATTTAGACAGGAAATTGTGGAGTACCATAATTGCCTAAATCCTGAGAAGACGGCAAATAAAAATATAAACGTTCAACGAAGAGAGAAGTACACATTTAAAAAAAATAAATGGTGTTATAGAAGGAAGTGTCAGTCACATGTGCCATGCGGAATACACGCTTAGACGATCATGTATCTTTCGATACATGATTGACGAGGAAGATTTTTCCCCGCAGTAGGCGGCCATTTCTTTCTGCGGTAGACCAGTTGATATCAAAGGTTATAGAACACGGTCTGTCTTGCTATCTACCCATATCTGGGGAGAGGGGAGAATAAGAGGATTCATAACTTTCCCAATGGTATTTGAACGTAAATGAATGTAATGGATTCGACTGGAATTCGAACGCGGCTTTCCTATTTCAAAATCCGAGCCGCTATCCATTACTCCGCCGTGCTTCCTTGAGACTTGAAAGTGATTTAAAAGTGTGGGATTTGAAAACCAAAAATGTTTTAAAATGCAAGTCAAGAAATGAAATAAATATTGAAATGTAAATGAGATTTCGACTGAAAGAAAATTATTACAGAAAAAAGAGAAAATAATTTGAAAAATCAGAGAGAAAATGTTTTAAAAATTGTGACAGAATGGTTTAGAGTGGTTCACAGTGATTTTTGATAAAAATGATTTAACCAAGATGTTGCCAGATGACATACCCAGAACGGTAGTGTGTATATTTGCACGGGGTTTTTCTAATTTTTGAAACAAAATGTTCGGGCACAAATCAAGGACCATAAATGATAGAGAAACGGAAATTACATTTATTGAAAGATAATAAGGATTTTAGGATCTGCAACCATTTAGACTCAAAGATTAACCAAAAATCTTAAGAAGAACCCTAAAATATATGTTCCAGATGTTGACCGTCCAGTTAAAGGCACTGTCGAATGCAAAGTTGTTGATCACGCCTGCACATTGCTCCTGAGGGATCGGTTGAATCTTTTCAGTGATGGCTGCTTTCAATGCAGCAATGGCGCGAGTTTTGCCCTGGTAGATGTTTTCCGTGAGGAACCCTCGGAGGAAGAAATCTGGAGGGTTCATCTCAGTCGAGTAGGGTACTTCTTACATTTCAGCTTCCCAAACTTTTCACGAAGCCATGGACATGGTAACATTACCAGTTTGCGAAAGAGCACCATCCTGCTGGAACCACCATACCTCCTCATCAAGGTCCTCACACTCCTCAAGCTTTTCCTATCTGAGAGGCTGCTGCTTTGTTTCAACAATTGTGAAACACCCTGTAATTATGGCGAGAAGAGATCTGAAGGAAACAAAAAGCAATGAGAAAGCAACAATGAATGAGAGAGAGTGGAACAAGAAAGAAGCATGAAACAACGGGAAAAGAAAAATGAGCGATATGAAGAAGAAAGAATGAAAGAAAAAAAGAAAGATCTAATAGATTAAAAAAAAGAATTTGATGTGGCAGCGAAGATAAGAAAGGGAAAATCAGATTAGTAGAAGAAGAAAGATAATGTATCAAATACAATAAGTATGAAGTCGGCTATAAAAGAAAAAAGAAAAAGAAAATTTATATAAGAAGAAAATGGCCAAGAAGAAAGAAAGAACAAGAGAAGTAAATAAAAAAGAATGGGAAAGGATAGAAAAAGGAAAGAAAAAGAAAATTATTATAATAAGATGATAAATAAGCAACAGAAAGAAAAAAAGAAAGAATGAACGAAAGAAAGTGAGATGTAGTTCGTAGAAGTAATCAGAATGAAAGCGACAGAAAAGGACGGAAAAAATGAGAATTAATAAAAAAAATATTTAAAATGGCCGACAGGGGGAAAAAAGACATAAAAAATCGACCAAAAAGAAAGAAAGAACAAAAAAAAAGAATATAAAACAAAAGCAAATAAGAAAAAAGAAAGAAAATAAAATTGTTACGAGAATAGAAATATTGACTAACAAGAAAGAAAGAAAAGAATGAAATAAAGAACGAAAAAAATAAAAAAATAATAAAACAAAAGTAAAAAGAAAAAAATTGTTACACGAATACAAAAATAGACTAAGAAGAAAGAAAGATCGAAATAAAGGATGAAATAGGAAGGAAAGAGAAAGAGAAAATGGAAAAAAGAAAGATAAGAAAAGAAGAAAAAAGAAAAGAAAATGGTTACACGAATAGAAAAATCAACTAACAAGAAAGAAAAATGGCAGAAAGGAAGAAAGAAAGACAAAGCTATATAAATAAAGAAAGAAAGAAAAAAGGAACGAAAAGAAGAAAGAAAGGTAATCAAATGAAAGGAAAGAAGAAAAAAGAAAAGAAAATTGTTACTCGAATAAAAACATTCACAAACGAGAAAGAAAGAAAGAAAGAAAGAAAGAAAGAAAGAAACAGAGAGAGATAAAAAGAAAGAAAGAAAGAAAGAAGCTCAAGAGAGAGGAAAGAGGCAGAAAGGAAAAAGGAAAAATAAAATTTGTACAAGAAAATGAAAAATGACCAATACAAAGAAAAGATGAATATAAAGCTTCGGAATGAAGAAAAAGAAAACAGGAAAAATAAAAACTAGGAAAGAATGAATGAATGAAAGGAATGAAAAATTAATAAATGACTGAATGATAAACAAAGAAAGAGAATGGGAAAGAAGTGGAAAGAGAAGAGGAAATAAAAAATGAGAAAGAAAAGAGGAAAGAGAAAAGGAAAGAGAAAAGGAAAGAGAAGTAGAAAGCGAGGAAGAGCAGTAAAAAGGGAGAGAAATCAAGAAAAGTTAAATATATCTTTATTCGATTAAACTATCTCCTTTTCTACTCTATGTTTGGGATTAGCGTATCGTTATTTTAATCCGTAATCCGATTAAGGCGCGGGTAAAATCCATCCAAGAACCGAGGGAAGAGTTTGGCGAAGAGGGAATGTCAGTCCTGAGTTACCATTTGACAGAACCATAATGTCTGACCATCACTTGTCCGTCAAAACATCACCGCCACAAAATTTGTCTGGGAGAACGACGTATGTCCACTGAGTTCACTCGACAATGTCAAACACCTTTAAAACAAAATACGTAGATAATGAGAACAAAGTTACACACACACAATGATACAGACAGATAGATAGATAGATAGATAGATAGATAGATAGATAGATAGATAATGATAATGAACAGAATGAGATAGATAGATAGATAGATAGATAGATAGATGAGATAGATAGATAGATAGATAGATAAGAAATGAATGAAGATAGATAATGAACAGAATGAGATAGATAGATAATGAACAGAATGAGATAGATAGAATAGATAGATAGATAGATAGATAGATAGATAGATAGATAGATAGATAGATAATGAACAGAATGAGATAGATAGATAGATAGATAGATAGATAGATAATGAACAGAATGAGATAGATAGATAGATAGATAGATAGATAGATAGATAGATAGAATAATAACAGAATGAGATAGATAGATAGATAGATAGATAGATAGATAGATAGATAGATAGATAGATAGATAGATAGATAATCGGACCAAAAATGTATACAGACTTCCGGAAAAGGGAAAAGTTGTATAGATATTGTAATACTAAATTTATTAAGACATCGCGATATTTAGACATTACGATCAGTTACTTTTAGACTCTACAATCCCAGCAGATGCACAAAATGGTGGCCTTTAGCTTCCAGACATTTATTAGTACGCCGAACTACTGCTTGGGTAATGCTGGTCAAAGTGTCGAGTGAGATTGATGCACATATATTTTTCATTTCTTGTCTAAGGGCAGCTAATGTAATGACATCTGTCGAGAAAACATCGCACTACAGCAAACTGTTATTGCATTTTGATCAAAGGAAATTAAATTCTTCAGTCGTCTTTAAATAAAATTATATATATATATATATATGTGTGTGTGTGTGTGTGTGTGTGCGTGTGTGTGTGTCTAAAGCAAAGACAATAATGTTAATCACCTTTCGTTTAACAGGCCGAAAAATTGTCACATCGTGTCTCCATAGTTTACATTTCCTTACACTTTTTCATATTTAAGATCGTTCAGATGTTTGATTGAAGACGGTTAAGTTCTTTTTTATTATATTTTTTATAGCATTTATACAAGTGATTACTTCTATGGACATTGAATTTGTAAGACCAATCGAAATGATCTGAGCGCTTTCCGCTAATCTATTAACTATTAATAAGGATTTTTTTTTCCTTTTGTTTGAATATGCAGATTTTTTGAAATTATTAATATTTCTGAATTTGAATCTCGAAAAAATAAAAGTGTAATGGAAGTGATAGTAATAAAAATGAAGGAATCAATACTCAATAATGAACACCGCTACAAGGTGCTGATTGTCTTCGGAATTTAAGACATTCCTACTTCTATAGGAAAAACAAAAAAACTAAATATTCATACAAAGAAGCATCCTTGATAATGGCTGATAGATTATGGAAAAGCGTTCAGAGTCCGCCATATTATTCTGCCAGTTCTTACAAACTTCATGCCCCGACAAAATCTTTAGTAGAAATGCAAGAACAATATAATAAAAAGATTAATTGATGTATAAAAGGGATTTCTGTCACACACAAACAAACAAAACACACACACACACACACACACATATATATATATATATATATATATATATATATATATATATATATATATATATATATATATATATAGGCAGTGGCGATTCAGGAATTCTGAAATAGGGGGCTCTTGGTAGGCGACATTTTTCTGCGGAATGGTGGTGGGGGTGAATTCAAGCAGCGTCTTTATTTTCATACTACACTACTATCGTATACGCAACTTAGGAATGAGTTTTAGTATGTTACTTCACTAAATTAAACGGAATAACTTTTCATTCGTAGTAGTGGAGTTCTAATCTATTTTTGCCCTCTTTTCCGCTCTCAAGCTGTTGGACCACAAGAGAGGGGTTAACTTCAAAAAAAAAATCAACGGGTTAATACTAACGTCAATACTAGCAGAACAGTGTAATTTGTCTGCTTTGATTTTTTTACTCAACAAAACCTAAAAAGTGGGCTGCCACCAAGGGCCATCCAAAATTCAGGGGGGGCATTGGCATACAGAGTGCATCAAAATATGTATACACACTTCAAGAAAGGAAAAATTTACATAGATATTATAACACTAAATTTATTCAGAAATCTCGATAGTAACGTGTTACTTTTGTACCGTACAATCACAAGACATCCTCAAAATGGTTGCCTTTAGTTTCCCGACATTTATTCGTACGCCGAACTACTGCTTGGGCAACGTTGGCCAAAGTGTCCAGTGGAATTGTGCACATGCATTTTCAATGTTTTCTGCGACACCCAACATCATTAAGGACATCCATAGACAAAAGTCTGCAAATGTTAAATCAGGGGAACATGGGAGGATTTGAGAGCACCTCTTCGTCCTAGCCAGTGTCTTTGTAAAGTCTCATTCAGATAAGTCCGCCTGTCTTGCTGCTAGTGTGACGGTACTTTGTCTTGTTGAAAGAAACATTCAACATTTCCATACAATTCAAGCCTAGATTGTCATATGGATGCACAGAGCTTGTCTAAGTACGCTTGACCACGAACAGCACATTAAAAAAATGGTCCTATTAAACATCTAGATGAAACTCCACACCAGACATTGGCACCTGTTAAATTAACTGCATTGTCCACATGCCCGTAAAATAATTCTATTGATTCGCTGTTCTATTTAACATAAATTGTAATTCGTCAAACCGCATAAATCTTTCTCAGCAGATCTTCAACTACGACAAAGAGTGCGAGAAAGATTGATTTATTAATTCGATTTTTTACGGTTAATCAACACTTTGCAAGTTATTTAAAGCTTGTAAGAATTTCTTTTTTTATATAATAACTAGCAGCATGGCCCGGCGTTGCCCGTGCTTGATTCAAAAATCGTACGACTCGTAAAGCAATCGCTATCACTTGACTTAAAATATTTTTGCCTTTTCTTGCCTTTAAAGGAGTGCCCTTTGCCGTGCTGATGTTGCTACATGATTTACTTCGTGCCTATCTCACACTACGAATTTTTTATAAGCTCTATACTAAACATTAAATCTGTTACGAAAAAAGAACTAAACAAAATGAACACAAAACGATCAGCTTTAAAAAAGGACTCGTAACTGGAAAAACTGAATGAAAAAAGAATGTTAACAACAAATACTTTTACACACTCAACCCAGTTCTGCGGAATCAGAATCAACGTTGAGTTTAAGCAAGCGAATGGGCCAATTGGAGTAAAATGCCATGCAGATTTAAATTTTTCCCACTTGTGACGAATGCAGCTATCGATTTTTTTGCATTCTAGCATGCTAGTTAACATTCATGTCAGTCAGCTGTTGGCTCTCACGCTGGCCGATAGAATCTTCCTGCCTATTCGTGGTAGCCAGCTATTGGCTCTCACTCTGGCCAGTAGAAAATAGCCGCAAACTACATGAAAACTGCCGTAGAAGCATGAAAAAATCGATTATTTCTACTATCGATGGGAGTTGGGAAATGCAAAATCGGTCTTGGCCTTCTCGCTAACTTGGAGCATGTGCATTTAATTTTTGGTGCAAATCCGTTGAAAATTGCGGCCGTGTATTCGTTACACACACACACACACATCCTGCCTTTTATAGAGAGAGATGTTTCAGTGATTTATAATAATGTTTTAGCGAATCCAACGGGAATGGGAACTTGACTCACCGATTCCGAGTCATTAACCATTACACCACCCTTTCATTCACGCTTACAGTACCTGGTATTCCCAAGCGGTCACTCATCTAGATTCTGACCAGGTTCGATGTTGCTTAACTTCGGTGATCGTACGGGAATCGGTATATCAACGTCATATGGCTGTAATATATGTCATCCGCAATTCCAAGCTTACAGCACCTAATATTCCCAAGCGGTTACCCATTTAGGCACTGGCAAGTCTCAATATTGCTTAACATCGATGATCGTACGGGAACTATTGTTTTAAAGTTATAAGGCCGTAAGAATATACCACACACATACACATCCAGAATCTATGGCACCTGGTATTCCTAAACGATCACCCATCTAGGTACTGATAATACTTAAAGTTGCTTAACTTTGGTGGTCGTATGGGAACTGGTTTCTCAGCGTGATACGGCTATCAGGCATACCACTCATATATCCAAGCCTACAGCACCTAATATTCCCAAGCAGTTACCCATCTAGGTACTGACCAGGCTCAACGTTGCTTAACTTTGGTGATCGTACGGGAACCGATTATTGAACGTGATATGGCTGTAGAACATAAAACCGGCTCATCTAAGCTTACAGCACCTGGTAATCCCCAAGCCGTTACCCTTCTAGCTACTAACCAGTTTCGACGTTGCTTAACTTTGATGATGTTACGGGAACCGATTTTTCAATCTGATGTGGGCGTAAGCTGCGGTAGAAAGAGTCCAAAAGGACACACTAAAGAGTAAATTAAATAAGAAGGAAAGTAAAAGTAAGACCAAAGAAGCAGAGACAATGACTTGACGATGAGGAAGAAATAATGCAATAAAAAAAAAGAAAAAATAGTTAAGTTCAAATCTCTGACCGTCTGGCCAATTCCAGTTCTGCCGGTGCCACTCCCATATTATTATCCTTCTCTGTCTTTTGCCAGAGGTAATGACGTTCCTGCCATTTTGTTATCAGCCCTATTTTGCAGTCTTCTCGGAGAGTCGTAGTTAAGAAGGCATCCACCGTCGTCTTGATTCTTAATCTCAATTATTGCTTACTCGACCAGCATTTATCATTAACCATTTGTATGACAATGCGTATCCCCTAGATCTTATCTTTCTTCTATATAAATATATGTACATCTCTTTCTCCTCCTCTCTCTCTCTCTCTCTCTCCCTATATCTATATATCTATCTATCTATCTATATATATATATATATATATATATATATATATATATATATATATATATATATATGTGTGTGTGTGTGTGTGTGTGTGTGTGTGTGTGTGTGTGTGTGTAGATACGCTGCAATGCTGGGAATGACGATAAAGTACATCTGGCAGCAAAGACTCTGATCGGGGAGGTTTTGAGGAGCGTGGAATCGCCTCTTAACCCTTTCCCAGCCAATTACTTCGGGAAAAACGTTTCATTTTCAAACGAAGATTTCTCCTTGTTTTTAATATAGTAACTAAGAAAGTGAGGTACCTTGAAGTACCTGAGCGGTGGCTAACACCGCCACCAGACGCATGAGTTTACAATTGGACTCATTTCAAGTTCAGAAACGACATAAAAAGAATCAAGATCGACGTTTGTAGTTTGTAGTTGTGTTTTGAACATGATGTTTTGGACGTGTTTATTCGTCCGTTTCTGAAAAAGATTCTTTCGTTAAAAACGTAAATACACGTCTAAGCCGGAGAATAGATAAATTGCTGCTATTTCCCGGTACTACCTTAACCCAGGGTGGTTCCACCTGTTAAGGTCAAAATGTATAATAAAATACAAAAAATACCAGCAATATATTCCCATAGTAAAAGAAAAAAAAATTAAAAAATTAGCTATACATTTTTAGAAACAAAAAGCTCACAAGAAAATAAAATGTCGGTATTAAATGACCGATAAATAGTTTGATGGTCTATTAAACAAATAACCCAAATCAAACATATTCTGAGTAATCCGAAAGTAATACCTCCTATTTATTTTCACTGAATCCATACTTATCTGGTGCTTCCATATTTTATCTGGTGCTCCTGCTGTACATCTCGAAATTCTTGACAAAATACAAAGAATGATCTGCAATTTTATCAATCCTGACCTGGCATCTCGACTTCAGTCATTTTCTTACCGACCTGACGTGGCTTCCCTCTGTCTTTTTCTTTAAATATTTTCATGACAACTGTTCTACCGAGCTTTTTACCGTGGTGATTCGACTACATGAATTTCAGCATGCTACTAGGTTGGCATCTAGGTCTTACCCGTTTCCTGTTGAAATAGCTAAATGCAACCGCTGCTTCTACTCCAACGGTTTCTTTTCTCCCATTTCCCGCCTTTGAAACACGCTTCCGTTTACTCGCTTCCCAGATAACGAATCTTCAAAATCCTCTGTCTTCTTGAATCACGTTCATCGTTTACCCTTTGCGCATACTCAGTCTTTTCTCTATTTTCACTCTCTGCAATCCCCTGCACACTAGTAGCCTTCACGCCTTGCTTGGGGTGAAATGATTTTAAAAAATCGTTGTGGAAGATTCTATCTACAAGGCAACAATTATTTCCTCCTCATCATCACCAATGGTAATAAATCGTCATGGATTAAAAAGAACCTGATTGCTAGACCTGTAAAAATCTGCGCACTAGTCTGTGCCCATGTCACTATTTGCTCAGTTGTTTATGCGTTTTATTTTTGGTGCCAGACGAACAGAAAGCTACTCCATCTTTAATTATTCAGATAAAATTGTTTAATCTGCACCAAATCGAAACGTTTTAAACGTTCGCTATTATTCATGTTGTTATATCGTGGATAATACGATATAAACAACTAGGTAATTCCGAGTGGAACGATTACGCTAAACACAGGAATTAGGTAAAACAAATAATATGGGTTTTATTGTACGGAAAGTACAATGAGTAAAAGTTCTTAATAATAATAATAATAATAATAATAATAATAATGGTAAGGAAAACGGGAGATGACGTCACAGAGATCTGTAGAGGTACTGTTACGACAATACTTTGTCACGTCTTTTATTTTCTCCTCATTCACGTCTCTTTAGACTTACCAATCACTGTCGGGGTGTATATATGTTGTTCCACTATAACACACACACACCCACACACCAACAATGAAAGCAAAGTGACTAACAATACATTTTATCTGTAGATGAAGGCATGCAATTGTGTCCAAAATATTTAGATTTAGTCATTAAATAACTTGAAAAAAGTTACTGAATGAGGACTAAACAAAACGGAGGTTGGAAATAAAATGGTAATCTTTATAACATGAACAAAATACAATACTCGCCAGCGGCGTGAGGTAGGTAAACCGCTGTTAGTGGTGGACTACTTAGACACCCTATTGACCCCATTTACAGTAGTGTCCAACGTATTTATGAGGATTGCGACATACCCATTAGTGTTCATAGGTACGTTATATAACAATAAATCAGAGTTTGATATGCCGCTAAAAAAAATCAACCATCAAAAATGATTAGGAAATGTTGCAGACGTCGACATTAACAAAATCCTTGGTAGTCCCTCTTTACTTGATATTAGAAAATTGCCTGCAATGCATATATATATATATATATATATATATATATATATATATATATATATATATATATATTGTTATATCGTGGATAATACGATATGAGCAACTAGGTAATTCTGAGGAAAGATTACGCTAAACACAGGAATTAGGTAAAACAAATAATATAGGTTTTATTGTATGGAAAGTACAATGAGTAAGAGTTCTTAATAATAATAATAATAATAATAATAATAATAATAATAATAAGGAAAACGGGAGATAACGTCACAGAGATCTGTAGAGGTACTGTTACTACAATACTTTGTCACGTCTTTTATTTTCTCCTCATTCATGTCTCTTTAGACTGACCAATTACTGTCGGGGTGTGATAAGTTGTTCCACTTTGTGAAGGCATTGATCGCCTTCGGTTATATCTGAACAGTGTCGATATTTTCATCCTAACCTCACATTGATGGTTCTAACGACTCATTCGGTATTTTTAGCTTTTTCACGTTCTACTTTGTAAATTGATGATAGTTTCAGACAATATAATCTTTTTTCAAAGCTCCAATAAATTTTCCAGTGTCTCAATGAAGTTTATCAGCGACTTTGATGTTAGTTCTCGCATCATTTCTAACAGGAATCCACTTGTTCTAAAAAGGATTATTTTAGGGCGTAGATGTGACTAAATTGCATCAACAAACGTCTGGTTAGTAGAGAATAGTTGTGGAGATTTCTTATGATATGTTATTCCAGCACTGGTGATTCTGCTATATATTTAAAGATTCTTGATAATATCCAAATAAGAATCTGCAATGTTACTGGTCTTGATCTATCATCTCAGCGTCAGTCACTTTCCGACCACCGTAACAACTTGCCTGTGACATTTTTATAAATAATTTCATGGTAATTGTTCTAATGAACTTTCATCTTTGGTACCTAGACTTTAGGAATTTAAGTGTACTACTAGATTAGCGGAAAGGTTCTATCACTTTTACTGTTTAAATTTATAGATTTAACCGTAAGCTCTATGCTAACAGCATTTTCTCACGAACTACTTTATCATGGAAATCTCTTCTGGCTTCTTAAGTAGATTTTTCAAGAAGAACGGGCAATGTTCGAGTTTTTTTGTTTTTTTTTATCCATACAGTAGGACTGATTCAATCGATGTTCGAAAGATTTCTACTTTTAAGGAGGATAGGAAGTTCAAGCGCCAAATCTTGTGAAGTTTGTTAAAAGTATCTCTTGAAAGAGCTTTGTGGATGTTGAAGTCTTTTTAGGAGTCTGTTATGTGAGCTCCAAAATATTTAAAGTCATCAACTTTTTTCATAGATTTATTATTAAGTGACTTCAACTCGGATGGTTCAGGGGAGGTTGTGATGTATTCTATCTTACTAACATTGCAATAGAGACCTACTTTGAGTGATTGCAGCAAGCATTCTGCATACTTGATACACTGAGAAATTAACTGCATTGAGAAGTAGCGATAGAAGTCCGATCGGCTTGCGATATTTTGTCTGTTGGAAAGGAATTATAAGGTAGAAAATAATTAATCGCCTTCAATGCTTTAAGAATCTTTTGAAGCCTGTCGAGGCTGAAAAGAGAGGACTAGCCAATTCCGACCCAAATATGCCAGCAATACTTCATTATTCGTTTGAACTGGCACTTGTCATTACAATATTTGTCTTTAAGGATGCGAGGTAAATAGAGTCGGGTATCTACTAAAGCGGTAGAGATAACCGAGCATTTTTCATATATATATATATATATATATATATATATATAGTTTATGCAAACTTAGGTAATCCGTATGGGTAGAACCAAGGAGGATGATATCCAGAGAGCTCAATGTAAAATTCAGAGCAGATATGTTTGAATAAAAGACAGACCACGTTAAGATTCCATGTAATAAGGTATTTCACCATAACCCCTTTAACAGGGTTCTGGATCATCAGACTTTGCTTCCAAAAGCTGAAATGAAAAATGAAAAGAAATTCACACGTTTTTGACGGACCTCATCAAGTATACGTAAAATTAACGAAGTGAGGAAGTGAGGTGGGAGAGAGGATATGATTGTGTCATATGTATCATTTTTTTCGTAGATTGTTTAGACATTGAGATATTTATCAAACCTTAACCTCCCAAATTAACAGCGTCTAAGAATCTGAAGGAAACCTGTCGTGTAATTGATTGGGGTTGTAGCTTCTTCCTTTAATGTCGGTCTTATATCTAGAGACGAGACGCGTTAAATTTGAGCAACATCTAGCCGACACACTGGGGTTAAAAATAGGAAATTGAAATGATACATATGACACACTCATATCCTCTCTCCCACCTCACTTCCTCACTTCGTTAATTTTACGTATACTTGAAAACCATTAGAACCTA